GGCCCCCCCACCCGGGGGGGGAAAAAATGACTTTGGGCAGTGGCTTTTTTGGGGGGGGGGGGGGTTGGGGAGATGGCCCAACTGTGAGCTGCTCACATGGATTATAGAAGATAGTTCCGGGTTCGCAGTCCCAGTGACCATTCATGAGCTGAGGAGAGCCAGGCCAGGAGCAGGGCTCCTCCTGCACCCATGTGGGCTTCTAGGTGAGCTGGTGCAGCCCAGACAGTGGAGGAGAACTTGTCTTTAAAGTGTCAGGGTTGCAGCTGGGGCGCTGGCTCAGTGGGAATCATGCTAGCTGTGCAAGCTGGAGCAACCTGAGTTTGGATCCTAGCACCCACTTAAAGGGCAGGTCCAGCAGCAGTGTGAGCCTCCAGCTCCAGTGCTGCTGTAGGAGGGGCAGGAAGGCAGGACCGTCTCCAGAGCTTGCCAGATAGAGCTGGGTTCTGTGAGATCTTGCCTCAAACAATAAGGTGGAAAAAATAAAGGAAGATACTTGGCGTTGGCCCCTGCCCTCCCCATGCACACTGTTCATACATGGGAGGGAAGGGAAGAAGGGAGAGAGGGGAGAGGGGGTGGGAAGAGAAAATAAACTGAAATAGAGATTGATTTGGAAGCCACTCAGAGACAGTCCAGTCCTGAAAGGAAGCCCTGTGGGGCCATGTTTGGAAGCCGGAAAGGTTGGAAGCCTACAGTGCACTTGCCTGCTAGGGGCCAGCTCTGGTCGAAGTGACTCCTGCAGCTCCAAGCTCAAGTATAGGACCTGCTTCACCCAGTCCCACCCAGCCACCCCACTGCCCGGTTTCAAAACTCTCCACCCAGCAGCTTCTAGTGCAGGCACCCACCCCTGACTCAGTTTTGGCATTGTGTTGAATTTCCTGCTAACCCTGCCAGCAGCCCGATGAGGCAGGCCTCCCCAGCCCACACTGTAGGTGAGGACACCTGCTTATAAACTCCCAGCACCCTTGATTATGTTTGTATCAGCCATGTTCCTGTCACCAGGCAAGCGTGTCCACAGTCTTGCTTTGTCTCTTGATGGCATTCTAAGAACCCTGAGTCACAGTTACACAGTAGTGGTGCCTGCTCTGGTGAGATGGCAGGCTCCCAAGTGGGACAGTGCATTTCCTGGCTTCTTCAATGACATCATGGGGGAAGCCCCACCCTACCCCAACCTCATCTCCCTGTAGACTGGGTCTCCGGGCACAGGAGCCGACATGACCCATTGCCAAACTGTCAGCCAGGCCGACTGCACCAGCTAACCAGGAAAATTGTTGTGTTTCCTCTCAGGTCCTGGCAATCAGTCACTTTTGAAAGACAGCCTGCCTCCTTCATCCGAATCGTTGGAACACACAACACAGCAAATGAGGTAAGGGCTCTCTCCCGAGAAGTGGTATTTCATGTTAACCAGGCAACCACTGCATCTGCGTCCCGGTCAAGTGGATCTCTCTGTCCTGCCTGGTAATGGCCTGTTGTTACCGCAGCTTGTCAGAAAGCAAGTCCCCACCCTTATCCAGAGGGGATGCCATTGTCAGGGTGCTGTTCACTGGCAAGAAAAAGCCAACAGCTGCTGCTTGGATTCTTCTGCCAGCCAGGGCTGAAATAGTGTAAGAGACCCTGAGAGATCAGACGACCTTCTCTCCTGGGATGACAGTGCTGTGGGCAGCATGTGGAGGCGGCTGTGCTGTTGGCTCCATGCACTGTTGCTGTCTTACTGGTCACCATTCCACACTGGTACATAGCGCTGAAAGGCTCTGACAAAAGACTTGGGGACAGTGACATGGGAAACATGTAGTCGAGGCTGCACTTCATGGTCGCTTTTGCTTCTTGCCAGGATTGGTTCATGGGTGTACCACGATGGGGGCCTCTGTGCTTGGGGTGTAGCAAGCGTGCTCCAAGCGCCTTCTGGGGTGCTTGGTGTTTTCACTGTTGGGTTCTATTATAGAAGGAAGACTGCTGGCATTAGAGCCCACACCAGTGGATCCTACATGCTGGCCTCCCGCCCTTTCTTCTCAAGAGGGTGACTGGTGTGAGTCTGGGCGTATTCTGGGATAGGGCTCTGGAGAATGCAAGGGCTGCACTAGCCACAGGGTGTCCCCACATGTGCAGGAGAAACTCGTTAGGTAGCAGATTGAAGAGCATGGCAGTTGAGAGACATGCTGGTGCAGAGGGGGTATTCCTCTGCTTCTGAAACACAGGTCTCTACTTTGTCCTTTTGTACCTGACCCACATGGTAGAGCTGGCCCAGATGTGCCAGTTACTGTCGTGGCATCCTTTCTCCCAGAAAAGATCCAGGTATGTCTAGTGCTTCAAGAACAGGTTTAAAAGTGGAAATGGTGTTGTAATTTAAATCCATTTTGCCTTTTTATTTCTTTAGGATAATAATGATCCACACCTACAATGTGTTTCCTATAGGGGCCAGCTTGTAAATAGACCCCAAACATTTTCTCCTGCTTCCAAAGCTAACTTGAAATTTTCCAAATAGTAAACCGTGATACTTTTACAGACGCCTAACTTTGGGTCATAAGCAGGTATGGCGGCCAACTCCCAAAACCCTGGCACTCAGAGGTCAGGGCAGCAGGACAGCTCTGAGCTCAAGGCTAGGCTAGGGATATAGTGAGCACCAGGTAAGCTAGGGCTGTACTAGCAGGACTATCCTTAAAACCCAAATAAATAGATAAGTAGATTACCAGGTCATAAGACCACTTGTCTTGTTGTATTATATCAAAAACAAATTTGAATTTGCATTTAATGTTTTGTTTTCAAATTAATAGTTTTTAGATTTGACCAATAAGTTCCAAGTGTTCTTTTTAAAATTTATCTCATTTTTAATTATGTGTCTGAGTATGCATGTGAGTACCTTCAGCTGCAGGTAACTGGACTCACAGACGACTGTGAGCTGCCTGCTGTGGTGCTGAGAACTGCACTTGGTTCCTCTGGAAGAGCAGGAGGGGCTTGTGACCACTGATCCCCCATCTGTGCAGGCCTGAGTTCAAGTATTTCTTACCATTTATCTATACAAATAACAAAACTAAAGGATTTTCTATTCAGTCTTTATAATGCAGTGAGCCCCTGCCCCCACAGGAAGTCTAGTCTTCTGCATAAATGCCTGAATGGAACTCCATGATGACGACGTGTTATAAGGAAGGGATTCTCAAGTCAGGAGGCTGGAGGCAGGTACAGGGCTCTCCAGGCCCACAGTAGCACCACCACTCTGACCAAAGCAAGGGGAAGAAGCTTGGCCATGGGATTTCAAAGTGGCTCTTTCTCAGGTCTTTCCCACCACAACCTATAAAACAGGGTGCAGGGTCTCTCTTGAGGGTGTGCCCTCCGCCTCTCTTTGGGCACCCTGTGGGGCCTGGACAGAGTGTTGGTGGGCCTAGCTGGAGGGCAGCCTGACGTGGTTGGTCATCTGCCTTATTTGGCTGTTGAGTAACTGCCCTAGCTGCCTTCTGGGGTCAGTTATTAACTGAGAAAATAAAGCCTCAGCATTGTGTTGCCAATTGGAAAACACCTTAAATTGTAAGACCCATGATGAGCAGGGCTTCAGTTGAGAATCCACACTGTCATTCCCAGAGTGCACTGGAGGAGCAAGCAGGCTGCATCTCCCTGGGCGTGGAGGGTGTGGCAGACTGTCAGAGAGAATGTCCCTTGCTGTCCCCACTGGGTTTTGGATATCTCTGGATAAAGGATCTGACTGTTGTCTTGTCAGGACAGAGGAGGAGGACTCAGGGCTGGGTGGACAGAACACCTGGGGACAGCTCTAAAGGACAGAGACCTGATATCCCAGGCAGGAGTATAGAGCTGACACATGGGACATGGCCAGGGATGAATGTCCAGGAAAGCACGGTTGTCGGCCCAGGGGAGCCAGTAGCATGCTGTCATAAATAGGGCTGAGGAGAAGCAGGGTTTCTTCAGCCTGCCCCTGCTCAGCTGCCAGGTGCTTTAGTGGCAGTCTGAGCCTTCACTTCGGGGGCCGAGCCCCATCCACCATATGGCTAACAGCTCAGGAGACTGGCCTTCCCGGCCAGGGTGCACACAGTCTGGCTGGTGGAGGAGCTGGCTACCCTTCTACCTTTGTGTGGTCTTTCTTGGAACGCATACCTGGAAAGGGAGTTAATGACACACCAATCACAGGGCCCTGGCCCATGGTCCCATTTCAACCTAGTGGCCCTCAAAGGCCCTCCCTTCTAATGCTGTCCCATGGCAGTGGGGTCAGGGTCTTACCTTATGAATCTGGGGTTCTCAGACAGTGGCCTTCATTTTTAGAATGGCGCTTGTTTCCCTTCAGCTGAGTGTTTGTACTGTTTGTTCTATTTATTTACTGGTCACAGAATCTACAATTGTGTACATACAGAGGATGAGCGTAAGGGCTGTGCTGCCCTGCCAGGGAGGTCTTCAGAGAAGGCTTGCCGAGCAGGCGTGAGGAACCCACTGGAGCTCATGAGAGTGGGAGAGCATTCACGGGGACAAGGTGTCCGAGTTGGGATGCATGCGGCTGCTTGCACTGCTTGTTTAGAGCCCCTCCATAATCTCTACAGCCTGGAGCCCAAGTTGACAGCTTTGCAACTCTCTAGTGGGCTCTGCCATGACCTCCAGTGTCCAGCTGGCTTAGGATAACCGAGCAGATAACAGCAGGGCTGGACGAGGCTTCCAGGCCCAGGCAGGTTAGGATTCTGTGTCTGGCCAGGCTCTGCTGTGTCCAGAGGTTAGCATGTGTCCTCTGTGGTAAACCCCTCTTCCCTCAGATCTAGGTGCTTCCTCTCTGGGAAGGTCCAGCTGTTTGAGCACACTTCTGTTTCCTCCACCTTTCACTGCTGTCTTCTGGGAAGTGGTGCTCCTCCTCCCTGTCAGGCCCAGTGCTCACTGCCCCCTGAAGAACTGGCAGACAGCACAGCGTGTCCCATCCATGCTGAGTGCGCACCATAGCGTGCTGAAGGGACACCAAGCCGCCCCCCCCTCCCCTGTGTAGTAGGATCCCTTTACACACACTCAGACCAGGAGAGACGCCCCAAATGATACAACTGCTAAGGAAAAAGGCAAGGGACAGTGCTGTCTCAGCCAAACTAGAGTCCCTGGGATAGAAGGCTTGAGTCAGGCAAGGGCAGAGCTTCGTCCCGGCTGTGGCTGGGCTATGAGATTCTCAACAAGCTACATACCCAGTTATGTGCAAAATGTGCTCCATGGAGACCATGTGCCAGGATATGTATGTGTTCACATTTGCTGGTTTCAGGAAACCTCACTAGACTACAGAAGCTCTCAGAGCCTCTATGCCATGGCTACTTGATGGTGAAAAGCCATGGTCCTAAAGGCCAACCTGGCTCTTAACATCTGACTGCTGGGCTCTCTGGCCCACACCTCAGGTAACTACATCACATTCTGATGGGCTTGCTTTGTGCAATGCTAGGTCTAGGAGAGACCAAGAGACCCCTTCCTTACAGGGACAGCAGCCTCTCTGCCTGGCCGTGTACCCCTTGAAGAGCCCCGTACTTCAGGTGACATTGTATCTCTAAGTCCTGTGACATTGTGGACAGTGGTTCAGGGGCGGCTGAGACAGCCTGACGTGGGTGGGTGCAGGGATGGTCGGAACAGACTCCTTTATAAGACAGCATGTGGAGGACAGGCATGCAGGTTATCCCATACTGCCTGTGTCAGGAACTTAACCAGCCATGCGCTTGCCAAGAGGGTCACACAGGCTAGCACCAGCTGGGCAGTCTGCAGATGAGTGCTCGGGCTGCCTGCCATGCTGAGGTGGGCTTTCCTCACGGCTCCATGAGGCAGTGAGTGACTCTGGGATCCTAGTGCCTCCTCGTTCCCATAGCAACATGTGGCTTTAGTGGGAAAGTAAAACCAGGAAAACAGACTCTGGAAAAACTAAATAAATGTTCCTTGCTGGCCTGGGGTAATGATTTTTCCAGACCCCCTCTGGAGTGTGCCGTGTGCCCTGAGGGACTTTCCTTCCATGTTCTCCTCAGAGACATCATCTAGGCCCAGAAGGTGTCGCAGAGCAGCCTCATCTCAGAATTCCCAGGGTCGCAGCAGACATGAACCAAGCAGCAGGTGGCTACAGACTCAGAGCAAATGGAGAGGACATGAGACAGCCCCCCCTTGCAGGCCCCTCTGCTCCTGGGGTGAGTCTGGCCCTCCTGGAGTGTCGTGTCTCAGTGGCCAGAGAAGGATGTACACAGCATGAGCTGACCCTGGCACACATAGGTTTCCTGCGGCACCATGGACAAGGCACAGTCCCAGCAGGAGGACTTGAGCCAGTCCCCAGTGCACTGTAGCTCTTGAGGGTAGAGCACATGGCATGGCCTACAGCAGTCCTTCCACAGCGGGAGTGGGCGGGAGTCAAGGGGAGTCCACTCTCAACAAACACTATTGACAAGAATAGGAGCTGTGAGGAGGGGGAGCTGGAGCCTTCATAAGCCTGTGTCCCCTTGTCCTGGAGTGGGGAGAGCTGTGGTGCTCGTGAGAAAGTTGAGAGCCGTGTAGTGGGGAGAAGACAGGGTGGGGAGGAGCCATAAATGAGAGAGGCTCAGGGAGAAACAGACTTCAGCAGTACACAGGTGTGTGGCGGCCAGGGTCAGGGGCCCTCTGAAAAGGATAGGGAGACCTGGAGGACAATAAGAACTGCTGACGTGTGACAGGTAAGGAAAGGTGGGAAAAGACAGGCCACACAGCCACCTTCAGCTCCCAGCACTCTAAGACCCCAGGTCACTTCCCCTTCTTCCTCTGTAGGAGTAAGGCCTGGTTAGCCCACGTCTGCCAGGACTCAGGCACCCCAGAAAACGGGGAACAAGGATGCTCTCCAGTTTTGTTCCATAGGTTTGGTTTTTGAAATAACTTGAAAATATCCCTACCAAACTAACAAGACCCTCTTAACTATCTGCGTTAGTTAGGCTTTTTGTGTCCTCTGTCCGGGTGTTAAGAAAAACCACTCCCCACCCAGAAGAACCAGTGTTCAGCCTGGTCACTTGGCCATGTGCGTCCATGCATGGTGGCAGGGTGTTCACAATCAGGGTGTGTCACTGCTCCTCAGTCAGTCCTGTCTGCAGGCCTTCACAGGTACACTGAGGTCAGATGTTACTCACCAGTCTCCTAGGTGACTGATTCTACAGCCAGTCAAATTAGCAGTAACAGTTAACTCAGAAACACAGACAAAAGAACAACAGCGAAAAAACCAAAGCAAAACAACAACAAAAACAAATCAACACAGAAATAGGAAAGTCTAGGGCCACCTAGGGAAAGGTTTTGTTTTTGTTGTTGTTTTTTTTTTTTTTTTTTTTCAGAACTTTCCAAACAGAGTTGTAGCTATGAGGACATTAAAGTAGTGCCATGTGTGCGACCAATGTCACAGAATCTTAATCCCATGCCTAGGGGTAAATACTCATGAAAATAGTACTTATGCTTTATAATACTGAGGTGTGCACCTTTAATCAGCACTTGAGTTGGAGTAGAGGCAGAAAGATCAGGAGTTCAAGCTATATAATGAATCTGAGGCCACCCTGGGCTTCACTGCATGGGCTGCGTATCTCCAAAGGGTCGGGACGGCACACACGCTGCAGGACTCACAGAAAGGAACACGCCAGACCATTTCAGACACGTCCAGGATTACAGCACCCACAGGCCTGGCAACGTGATAATAAACAGCGGCCACAAGAAAGGACACCCGGGTGTGAGGAGGGCTGGGTCTGATTCATACACATGACTACATTGCAAATTGGCCGCTCCTCTCCGGGGAGAGACCCTGTGCTGCTGAAGATGGCTCAGCGAAGGTGCCCCTTTGTGAACAGCAGCAATCAAACAGGCTAATGGGATCCACGACTGCCGAAAAGTTGAAGGGAAAATGATGCGGAGACCATGGTAATGGCTTTTCGTAAATCAGAAGTGCGGCTCTGCCCAGCTTGCCTCATTCACTTTTGGTCGCATCCTTTCCGAGGAGTATTGCAGTCTGGGGAAGGTTCAGAGGAGAGGAATTGAATCGCACCAGCTCCTAAGCAAAGAGAAAGCCAGGACTTGGGCATTTCCTCTCATGTGAGGCCCATAAGTGCATGGTAGGAAGAGGGGAGGGGTGCAGGGACATGGTGGATTAGCAAGGACACATGTCCTAGGCTTCCTCCACCAATTTCCATACAAGTTGCAAAACCAGAAGGCCACCTTCCCTTAGGTCTCTGTGAGGGCCTGACCATAGGCAGCCTCAGGCCCAGCATGGCTGCCCTGAAATGTAGGGCACTTTTCACCTCCATTTGAGAAGAGAGACCATCAACTACAAGCCCTTCCAGAGGTCCATGTACAAACTGGAAGGTGTTTTGGGTCACAGGGAGGTGAACTGCAGGCACCATGGCATTTACATGGCGTCTAGAAGTATCTTGGGTAGTGCATGTGGCTTGCCCTGGGCTGGAAACATCTCGGAGATGATTGAGCCAGGGGCAGTGTTCACAGAGCGGTAAGAAAAGCAGGTGGAAGGCACCTGCCTGAATGACATTCCAGGGCTAGACATGGACGTCCTCCAGTCGTCCCTGCTGCCTCCCAGCCCTTTGGGGCCTGGTCTGTGCAGTCTTGTCTGGGTTGTGGGGAACACTTCTCTGGAGGACTCCCTAAGGGTCCACTCCAGGCATCGTGCTCCTGAGACTGCCACAGTCTCAGAACCTGTGTGTGGTTGGCACCCCAGGAAGATATGTTCCCCCTTCCCTCTCTGTGGTGAGTGAACACACCCCAGCGCTGTGTGCTGTCCCTTAGGCAGGACCGCACTGGTCAGAGTTGGTGCTCAGTAGTTGCTGTGAGCATCTGTGGAATCCGTGGGGAGGGCTGTCTGGAGTTCTCTCAAGTCCCACAGCCTGCCTGCGAGCCTGAGGGTCACTGCAAGACCAATGGCTCTCCTCTGTCAGTGTTACCAAGTCCTTGTCACATGCTGCGGGCTCTTTTTTTTGCTTCCTCTTAGTTTTCTTTAAGCGTGACTCCTTCCAACTGGTTGTACATGGGGCTGCACGGACAGAGCCATTCACTGACCCTTGCAATTTCATCCTCCCAGGTTAGGGTCTTTATTGATCTAGTTACTCCTGTCAAGGCAGAAGGGCTGCTCAGCACAGGGCTGCAGAGCCTGGGTCTTTGAGTGTGATGGGGCGTGTCGGTCCCGAGAGGGGCACTGAGAGGAGAGGAGGTCCCCTACGTCTTCCTGGCCTGAGGGGAAGCTGGCAGAGCAAGAGAGGGCAGGAGGGGGAAGAACAATGTCAGTCAGGCTACTGAAAGGAAGCAAAGACTGACTGCCTGCCCAAGAGCCTCCTGCCCCAGAGTCCTGAAAGGCTGTGACTATATATAGGTTTAGGCCAGAACACCCGGCTGACAAAGAATTTAACTGACTTATGAATGAAGCAGCCAGAACCTGAAAGCAATTATGCAAAGGTTTTAGCCAGGACATTTGAACACGTTTTCATAATTCTGGAAAAATTCTATTTATATTTAAATAAGAACTCACTGTGTCCTCCTCCCCCCCTTCTCCTTCCTTCCTCCCTCCCTCTCACCCTCCTCCCTTAATTTTTTTTTTTTTTTTAAAAAGAATGGTTCAATGGTTGGAGATGGCTCAGAGGTTAAGAGCACTGACTGCTCCTCCAGAGGACCTGAGTTCAATTCCCAGCAACCACATGGTGGCTCACAACCATCCCTTATGAGATCTGGTGCCCTCTTCTGACCTGCAGGCATACATGGAGGCAGAATGTTATATACGTAATAAATAAATAAAATCTTCAAAAAGAATGGTTCAGAAGGGAGAAAGGTCAGAAGAGAAAAGCCAGTGCTGAGCGGTCCAGCCTGGGCACTGTTGAGGCACTCGCACCGGGCTTTTGTAACTTTGGAATCGTCCATCTTTCTGCATTTACTATGACTGAGCACCTACACCAAAACCTTGTTGCTTTCTGGTACCTGAGACAGGCAGGGAGTGAGGTGGACGCTGGGGATTGCCCATGCTCACCCAGCACACCAGGAGTGAGGTGGACGCTGGGGATTGCCCATGCTCACCCAGCACACCAGGAGTGAGGTGGACGCTGGGGATTGCCCATGCTCACCCAGCATACCAGGGTGTGGCATCAGCTTGGCTCCAAGCTTTAGCCTCAGGCTGGGCCATCTCACTGGTCTTTTCTTTCTCTTACCAGGTATTCCACTGTGTCCACTTCGAGTGTCCGGAGCAGCAGAGCAGCCAGAAAGAAGGAGGCAGTGAGGAACCGGGCACAGGGGACCCCAGCACCCCCAGCCAGCAGCTTGACCCTCATGTGCTTCAAGCACCCAGTGCCAGCTCACTACCCCCGAGTCCGGGCCCCAACTCCGGCTCACCCAACCAACAGCACCAATAAAGGAGGCAGAGGATGTGGTGTGACTTGGGCGGGCCTGGGTGGGGCAGGAGTATGCCCTCCCCATCCCCAGGAGCGGCAGACCTGGCTGCAAAAGGCACCCCTGCCAGGTTTTACCCCTCATGGACAGAAGGGCACCCATGCTCTCCCAGTCTTCAGGCAGTCTCCAAGGGCAGGAAGCGGGTCTTTCTTCAATTCCACCATCAGTTCCTACCTCTAATGTTAACAAGGTACCAGGCCCAGGCTCAATACAAAAAGGAACCCTAGACCTTGACAAGTCTGGGGAAGCCCTAACTCTGGAGTGTTCCCTCTGTGGCGCCAGTGCCCTGGCTACTTGGTGGTTTGTAGTTGTGTAGTTTGTCTCCGTTTGCTAAGTCATGGGTGTTGCAGGCTTGTGGAGCTGCTCCAGCCCTCTGCAGCTGCATGGGTCCTCCTCAGTCCCCAATGCTTGCACGTGGGCAGAGCAGAGGCTGTCCCTCCTAAATGAGACCAGATGCAGCTCATCATGGCACTTAGCCTGACCAGAAAAACCCTTGCAGGTCAACCAGACACACAATGTGCAAATCAATCCTGTGGACACTGGAGTTAATAATTGATCAAATTGCCGCATTATTAACCTGTCATCCCTGATGTGTGCAAACCTTCCAGCCTGGGAGGCCGGCGTGGAAGCAGCTACCGTGCCAGCTGCTAGGGGGCCATTGAGACGCCTGTGTAAAGGAGACGCTGCCCAGTCCTAGGCTGACCCTGCTGGGCCCCATGGCTCACCTGCCTGGTTTGCCAACAGATGGGGTGTCAGGAGCACAGTCCCCCCAGTGTCATCCACCTGGAGACGGTGACGAACAGCTCTTGGGAATTTTCATCTTTGACTACTGCAGCTCTGCCTGCCCCCTCTGTCCCTTCCATGCACAGCCCCAGCTTCTGCGCCTCCCTGCAGCATCCTGAGGCCCTGTGAGGAGGGTGGGGCTTCAGGTGTGTCCTGATCTAGAAATGAAAGGATGGACTTAATTGGAATGGGTTGTCTACACTGAGGAGGTGGCAGCATGGAGCCTCAAAGTGCAGTGGAGGTTACCTCCCTGAGAGTTCAGGCTCAGGGTGACAGCTGGTCCTGAGGCAGACAGTCCACACTCCAAAACCGGCTCCATTGCTCTGTGTGTGTGTGTGTGTGTGTGTGTGTGTGTGTGTGTCTGTGTCTGTGTCTGTGTCTGTCTGTCTCTGGTAAGAAGGCTCCTAAGGATGGATAGCAGGGTGCAGCCACTGTGTGCTGTGCTGCTTTTGGCAGCATCCTGTCCCAGTCAGCCTGGAGAACTGCCCACTGAGCATCTCCAGTGAGCAGGACCCACTGCTGTGGTCCTGTGGACGCTCGGGTTTGTGTCTTTGGGAAGGTAATATGTGAGGGCTTGTTTGTTTTGTTCTTATTCAGTTATTTGCTTAAGACAGAGCCTTCCTCCGTAAATAACCTAGGCTGGCCACACTCATGGCAATCCTCCTGTTTCAGCACCTTGAGTTCTGGGCTTATAGTTAGGAGGTAGCACATTGCTGCCATAAAGTCTTCTTCATCAACATGGAAAGCAGGTGCAGGTTCAGGCCTGGCATCCAGCAGCCTCCCTGGAGGGTGGGGCTGAGCTGGCAGGAAGCCACATTGTGGACCCCAGATGCCACCAGACACACCTATCATGCTGGGCCCCAGGCACTGAGTGCTCTTGGCAGCCCATTCCCCACCATCCCAGATCCACACCGCGTGGCTTCCTGTCTCGTTTTGGACAGTATTGCATATTCAGGCTGTAAGACTCTGGTTCCTGTCAGTGTCGGCATCACCATTGCCCTCCATCAAAGCTACAGGTGGCAGAGGGGAGTTCTGAGAGCCATGGCAAGCCCTCAGCCATCTGAGCTGATCCTGTGGCTGCCCTTGGAAAGCCTTTCCCAGATTGATGTCCTCCTTAGGGTGCAGGAGGACACTGGCTGTCTTGCCTCCAGGCATGGAGCTCACCCTTGGCTGGTGGGCATGCCACATCTAAGGTAAGGGCCACATTTCCAGAGGACAGAGCCTGGCTTGTCCCCTGCAGGATTGAGTGTTGAGCTCAAGTGCTAACAGCAAGGTAGGTTGGCTGGAACTCGGATCCTCCCCCCAAGCACCATACTGGTGGATTCTGGCTCTTAGGACCCTTTGGGTGCCAAGGAGCCATAGTCAAAGCTCCCTCAGCCCTGCCCCTTTAGGGCAACAGTGTGAACACAGCCAAGTGGGCTCAGCTTGGCAAATGTGGCTACTGTGTGATTCAGCCTCTGCTGCTAGCTGTGAAGTGATGCCTGCTCCCAGGCAAACTGCCCATCCTTTGATCATGTGCTTTAGGATGGCAGATGTCCTCATTGGGGCTTTTGGAAGAAGTGTTCAGTGTCACCCACAGGGACTCCTGGGGGACCATTTGGGGTGCTGGGCAGAGCACTTTGGGCTATGGGGTGGGCTCAAAGGCAGCTGATCTCTGTATAGTAGTCACAGGTGGTCTCACACTCAGGCTCAGAGTCTCCTAAACCCTCAGTACTTTCCCCTGTTGTGATTTTAATGGAGTTACAAGCCATTGTAACGTGGGATCTCCTCAATGGCTCTCTCAGCTGTCACGTTTCCACTCTTATTAAATGAAGTGTCAATCCCTGACAAATACACAAGTGTTTTGATTCCTAGAAGACTTAGAAAAAGAAACTCTTCACAGCAAGTGAGGGGTGTGTGTGTGAGGCTGACCTCTTCCCCTCCACATGAGTTCTGAGGCCATCTCCACAACTGTTAGACCTCTGAATGCATAGGTAACCAGTCAATCTCCTGCTCTTCTAACTTAGAAGATGAGGGAGTTGTAACCACGGCCTCTGCAGGGCCACGGGAAGGGGGTGGCACGGTGAGGCTGCTCAGCACTGCGGTGGCTCAGCCCTGCCTGGGACTTCGGGTGTCCCTCTGATGGGAACAAAGGTGCCAGGGCAGAGAACCACCTCCTTCTAGGAGGTTCCTTGTTAAGCTTTGCTTTGTCGCCTTACTGCTGTCGTCTTGCCCAGTGTGGTGAATGGAGCCTCAGAGCAGTGCTGAGGTGGCTGGGCACTGTGGGCACTGGCCATGCTCTGGTTACTTTGCAAAACTGCCATCGATTCTGAGTGTTCACCCTCACAATGGCCCTGGCAGAGGTGCACATTTCTTAGTGGACCTATGCTACCAAGTGGAGTGCCCCATGCTCAGGGTTCTGGGGTTGCCAGAAGGGAAAGAAGTGGCTGAAGTAGCCATGGGCTGCTGGAATGTATCCAGTTCTCCCTGGATGGGGCCTTGGGCATCCCTGGCACTGGGTGAATGAGAGGCCCCGAGCCTGAATGGGCTGCACTAGGGGGGGGGAAACACCCCCCCCCCCCCCCCCCCCCCCGTCTGCTCCTCCCCATCCTGTTTCTTGTCCCTCACTTTGACAAATGCACGGGAATGAATGCTTGTTCCAGAATACACTTTCAGTCTAGCAGAGGGCAGGCTCTGCCTCTGGCTGAGCCACTCCTGACCTGGGTCTGTGGTGTCTCATTCCTCTACTGTCCCCACCCATACTCTGCTCCCCAACCTTTGCTGCTAGAGGTCAGTCCGAGTGGATCAGTGATACCATCTGCCCACAGTGGAGTCATTGCACAAGATGGAGGGGGTTACAAACTTTGTTTTACCTAATATTCTGCATATATCTCAGGATCTGTGACTTTCCCTAGACCCTCTGACTGGAAGACACATTAGGTGCCAACTCTCCAGCTCAAGGGACCTCAGGACTAGGGGCTCCTATCTCCCTGCCCCCCCCTAGGTAGGCAGCCATGAGTGGGGCGGAGAGAGAAGAACCCCAGCCCTGAAGACTCTCCGTGCGTCTCTGCTATGCCTGGGTGGATGGGGGGGGGTGTATCATAGCTTTCCCAGGTCTGTCTCTCTCTGTGGCCATCAGAAAGCCTGGCCTGGCCTAGCCTGGCCATACTCTAGCCACCAGACACGGTTTTGCTGCCACCTGCTAGCTTGTTTCCAGTCCCACACCAAGCACTCTGAACATCCTGATCATTTTCTCATCCCCTCTGGCAATGGGTAGGTGCCACTCTTCTCTCTGATGTAACCCTATCAAGAAGTTTGTGTACTCTGCATGCCAAAGCCGCACGCTCACCCATTCAGCTGCCCTGGAGGAGTGGACAGCGTTCACCCTACCTACCCTCACCAGTACTAGACAGACCCAAGTCCCCAGGACCCAGACACCCAACCCTCCCATACCTGGGGTCCTCAGGGATAGCTCCAGAGACACCACCACCACCTGCAATACCTGCACTAGGACCTCCAGGCCTCAGACACCAGGGAAGCAGCTACTCACTGGGCAGACTACCCCAAGTACCCAGCACTGCAGAGCGCCCTGTAGTCACAGACCAGCGGCACACTGCGTTCATTTCCTGGCCATCAGGGGCCGCCAGGAGAACCACCGAAATAGACAATCCAAATGTCTGTACGATTGGTTTAATTTTTTTTCAGCAGGAGAAAAAAAGAATAAAGTTACAAGATTCTTTTAATATTTTCACAATGTTAAACTAAAACTGAGCTCTAGGCTATGTGTGTAAGTCAATCTAGGGCACAACGGGTTAAATAAGATTTCCTCTTTAAAGATACAAGAATTTCCGCTTCCCTTACATGTAACAAACTTCACAGAACAGACACTGCAGGGAACAAGCCCTTCCTCCCTCCCCAGTGCTCCCAGGAGGCTTGAACCTGGCTGTGATCCCTGGGTGCAAGGTCCCCAGCACCCCCTCCCAGTGCTGCGGGGACCTGAGGGGCTAAGAAGGACATGTGGCGCCTCGCTGAGGATGGCCATGCGGCCAGAGGGCTGTGGCTTGACAACAGTGGTAAACGCTGGGCAGACCTAGCCCCTGAGCCCTGGGCTGCCCTAGAGTGAGGCGCGGTGGTCTGGGTCCTGAAGCAAGAATTAAGGCTGGAGATTGTGCAGTGGGTCCCATCTGACGGGTGCAGAGTGGATATAGGGTGGGAAGAACATGATTTCCTATTCGGTATTTTGGATTGAGACACTACTTGCAGATGCACTGTTCATCTACAGAGTAGACCTTGTTCAACTACACAAAGGAAAGTCGCCGGGCTAAACCATTCATCAGCAGAAAGGTGTGGACAGCCCTATGCCAAGCTGTGGGCTGGGACAGATGGCGCATGTGTGACAGGCACTTAGACCTGATCCAGGCTTTCAAGGGAATCCCAGCATCTACCCAGCCCTGCCCACCTGATTGCTAAGGGTTTCTAACCAGCCCCACCTACCTGCTCCATTCCGGCCCAGGCTGAGAGCTGCCTCCCACCACAGCCACCACCAGACATTCTAGAGAGAGCCACACCATGGCCCTATGCAGCCCACTGTCTGCCCTTCCTGAACCTACCCTGAGGTGGGTGGCCTGCTTGTCCTCAGACTATGGCTGCATCAAAACAAGTGGAGGCTCCTGCCGGGAAGGGCAGCAGCTTCCCCGGCACACCCACTGATTCTTGTGGCTATGAAACATCCTTTTAAAAAACTCCAAATGCAGAAATCTGGTTGCCAAGGCCCAGGTGCAGGCCTCAGCCACAGGGCTGCCATGAGCAACACTCTTGCCCTTGTCAAGTTGCAGCCAGAGCCAGTGGGTCATGGCCACGGATCCTGTGCAGAAAAGGTGGGGAGCATGCGTGGACTAATCTTGAGTGGAGCTAATTTTAAAGTGAAGTTGTCTTCTTGTGTGACGAGTTTCCCCATTACATCAGGTAAAAAGCTTCCTCCATTAGAATCGGTCCCCACCCCCCACTTCCAGCACTGAGGGAGAGCGAGGCCACTGCCCAGCCCAGCCACGTGGCCAGTCTCAGCAGCCTCCCGTGGCCAAGGCACACATGGCCATCAGGTCCTGCTGGGACCAAGCAAAAGTGAAGAGGTGAAAGGCCGGACACGAAGAGTTCCTGTCAAAGCCTCCTGCGTGGCTGAGGCCTGTGCCTCCTCTAGTGACTCAGTCCGGTCTGGACACTTTCCGCTTAAGGCTTTTGTAAGTTGGACTCCAGCAGTGACAGGTATGTGTTGTTTTAAATCCACTAGCCATGCTCAAAAAAAATATTCTTCATGTTTTAATTTTATACAATGGCTAGCAGGCACCTTAGTAACCAGCCAGAAATCAATTTCATCCACCATCAACCCCTAAACTACAGTACCAGGATGGCTGGCTAAAGAAAGGAAACGGCCGGCTGTAGTCTGACGCGTGCCCAGTACAAGGTGTCTGGCTGACTTTGTCCTAAATAAGGCTAACATTAGTGAACTAAGAACAGCGTCGTGTGGTGGCCCTGCTTGGCCTTCAGGAGCACCCCTCCCCGATGCGCTGGCAGGAGCGCCCCACTTTCCGGTCCAGTTTCACCATTTTCATGATGGCTTCCTCACGGCCGCGGCCCATGTGGTCGAACGTACAGTCATGCTGCTCAGGGAGACGGTGTAACATACAGAACACGTAACCTGCAGGCAAGGAAGAGAGAGGACAGGTCACTAGGGGGCCTCAGTGGCATCTGCGAGGGGGTACATGGCAAGGGACATGCGATCTGTGCAAGGCTTCATACTGCTCAGTACCCCAACCTCCAGCATGGACCCAGCACTTCCCACCCCACAGCTCCCTGGTCCAGGGAGACCTGCAGCCCTTCCTCTCTGGGCACTGTGTAGGCTCTGGCCTGGCCCCAGTGCGGCAGATTTCCAAGGTTAGGGAAGCATCGTGCACCCATGCCAGCTCAGAAGCCCTGACAAGCTGTGGTAGCCACCACAGGACAGACATGGTCTCCTGCACAGCTAAGGCCTGGAGGGCTGGGTTGGGTTGGGGATGGGAGTCCACACCCACAAGTGGTTTAGGATCCTAACAGAAAATGGTGCCTTCAGTCCTGGAGGAGGTCGATGACACAGGAGTCTGTGTGTCTCTGTGTGTCTCTGTGTGTCTCTGTGTGTCTCTGTGTGTCTCTGTGTGTCTGTGTGTGTCTCTGTGTGTCTCTGTGTGTCTCTGTGTGTCTCTGTGTGTCTGTGTCTGTGTGTGTGTGTGTGTGTGTGTGTGTGTGTCTATGAGGTCATCCGCAAGGACCCTCTGCTCTAACTCCCTGAGAGGACAGAGATGGGGTGCCCTCAGGACTCCCACCTAGGCTGCCCTGCAAGCTGTGAGGCAGCTGTAGGTGCAAGGACAGAGGAGAGGCCTCAAGAGCTGGGAGATGTGTGAGTGCACAGGGTGCTCTTCAGGGAATGAGGCTGCGGCCCTGGGTCAAAACATCAGTTCCCAGCATGAAGGAGAAATTGGTATATGGAGCCGACTGCTCCTCCCCAGTGAACCTCTAGAATGGCTGTGGTCTGTGCAGTCCTCTCCAGAGTCTGGAGGAGAGACTTGCAAGAGGATCACTGCCAGCGCCAACTGCTCCCTCTGCCCTCATCTGCACCCTTGTGTGTAGCCATGCCTCCCAGACCTGTGGGCCTCAGCTGCGATGGCAGGCAGGCAGGCCGGCCTTGAGGGGTCCCCATGAGTTCCTAACCTGCTCTCCCTGTGTCTGGAGCAGCTCTCAGTCGTAACCCCTCAGCCTCCATCCCTCTGCAGCTAAGGAGCAGTGGAAGCTGAAGACTAACCTGCCAGAAAGGACAAGGCCCT